AATTTGGCTGCGGCCAGGTTTGAACCCACTACCCTCGGTATATGGGGCGAGTGCCCTACTCACTGAGCCACAGGCGCCGCACTCACAACAGAGTATTCTAACTAATAACATCTTCCATATACTAGGTGATCTGGGCTTCCAAAAGAACCCAAGATACTAATTCAAGGCTGAAATTTAATGTCTTCAAATAACTTGACAGTAGCTCAAATGTTATGGGTGAACTAGATGCCAAACATACATAGGTACTTTCAAGGTAAAGTGCCTGTTTAAGATCATGTCTCTAAGACAGAAAATCAGAGATGTGACAGATATGCAAACTATAAATATGGTGACTTATTCATTCAATTATGCACTGTTTATATTTGTTTTTTCCTCTATATCTGCACTGACGGATAAGACTGGCTATACCTAGGTGTAAAATTAAGCCATAAATTTTTTGTTTGACATAAAGTCACAGTTTTCTAATTTTTAGACAAAATGAGACCTAAATAACCTTAACAGACAAGTATCTATACCATTCTTTAAAAAAGATACCACAAAATATTATCAACAAACACCTAGTAAGACATAATCAGACCTAATTTTTTTCCCAGAAAGAAGCTGAATGACAAAATTACAAGACAAAGAACAGTAGCCCAGAAAGTTCTTGATATGGACTTTTCTGTTGTTGTTGTATTTTGAGACAGAGTATCATTCTGTTGCCCTGGGTAGAGTGCTGTAGCATCATACCTCAGGGCAACCTTAAACTCTTGGGCTTGAGCAATCCTCTTGCTTCAACCTCCCCAGTAGCTCGCCACTATACCCGGCTAGTTTTTCCATTTTTAGTAGAGATGGGGTCTTGCCCTTGCTCAGGCTGGTCTTGAACTCCTGAGCTCAAGCAATCCACTGGCCTCAGCCTCCCAGAGTGCTAGGATTATAGGCATGAGCCACTGGGCCCAGTCTTGATTTATTTTTTAATAGAGACAAAATTCTGCCCTCCTCCCTGTAAACATAATAACAGTAATGGTAACTTTTTTAAAAGGTCATATGTCAATGCAAATTTATTTTTTATTTTTTTGAGACAGAGCCTCAAGCTGTCCCCCTGGGTAGAGTGCTGTGGTATCACAGCTCACAGCAACCTCCAACTCCTGGGCTCAAGCAAGTCTCTTGCCTCAGCCTCCCAAGTAGCTGGGACCACAGGCGCCTGCCACAACGCCTGGCTATTTTTTGGTTGCAGCTGTTGTTGTTGTTTGGCGGGCCAGGCTGGATTCGAACCTGCCACCTTAGGTGTATGTGGCTGGCGCCTTAGCCATTTGAGCCATAGGCGCCGAACCTGTCAATACAAATTAAAAAAAAAAAAAAAAGAAAACTGTTTAGTCTGAATAGCTATTATCTTGGCCATGTATTAAGGTACGCGAGAGTATTCTGGCAAAAAAAAAAAAAAATCAAATAGGAAACTGATTCTAAAAATTATGCTTCATTTAGGAAGTTCCTGAAAGAATTCAAACCTCTATTTAGTCTCACAGTAAATAATATGTGGGCAGGATAAGAAAATGATGCTTTAATGTAAATGGACAAGTCCTAAAAGCAACATCCTTTTGTATCGGGCTCAGATACATGTACCGTGTTTTGCTGTGTATAACATGTGCCTGTGAGTAACATACCCATGATTTCTGCCCAAACTTTCCAGGAAAACACCGCTTGAGAAAGTGGCCAGCTCTTGACCAGGAGAGACACATCTGGGAGTGCTGTTTCCCTGATAAACCTGCAGATTGTACCTGTACTTCCACAGCTGGCCACTCTGTAAAGACTGCCTCCTCCCTCTCTCCTGGGTGCCCTTCTTTCCCCGCCACCTTGGGTGTTGCAACGAAGATGGCCACACGCATGACCAGTGGGGTGGGAAGCTTCAGAGGCTACTTGGCCTACAGCAGCCAGGTGCATCCTTGCAGCCTGCGCTGGGCTCCCAGTCCCCTCCACACCTAGGCCTTGTATCTCTGTCCTCACCCTGATAGCCACAGCCTGCCTTGCCAGCCCTGTCACTGTCCCCTCCCTGCCTCGATCACAATGCTCAGTGAAGGCTACTCTAGCCTGCTCCCACTGGATCCTAGATCCTCCCAGACTGGTACTGATGTGTCTATGGGACCCAGGTGGGAGGGCGTGGTGGCTCAAGGAAGCCCACTGGTGCTGTACTCAAGCTGTACTATCCATGTATAAGGTGCATCCTTATTTTTCTCCTCAAAACTTTGAGCAAAAATTATGCATTATACATGTCAAAATAATTTACTGATATTATTAACTGTAATTTACTGACACTATTAACAAGGGTATCAGCTGCGTTGGCAATTTATGAAGGCTGGGGAAATAGTCCTACTAGAAACTACACTATGATGATTAATTTGCTTTCTATAAGCAACTGAACAATAATTATCTGACTGTCCATTCACTACCAGTCTCCAAGAGACAAGCCACTCAAAAATGAAAGGCTCTGTATCCTGTTACTAGTTTTCTAGCCACTTAGCTGGTCTTATCTGAAATGCCTTCCTCTGTGAGCAGAACAATCCACTCCAGTTAAAATCCCCTGTGATAGTTTCAACTAATGAGCTCAGAAATTCCATTAGTTCTGAATAGCTTTTTTAGCTCTCAGATGCATTCCACCATAAGTGGCAACATTCATTCACTAAACTCAACTTAAAGCTGTACTAGTCCTAACATCAATGCAGCAGTTCAGGCTCACTTCACTGGGTAAATGAGCTCTTGAGTTTAATTTCAGAAAATTCTACTTCTTAATTCTAATATCTAAAAATATCTTCACAATTGGAAAACTCAAAGCAAATCAATAAAGCCACAAAAAGCAATGTTAATGGCTACTGAATCCCAAAAAGTCAAAAGACACCCTACACAAGAAATAGGTAAAGTTGTACAAGATAAATTACTTCTGAACCACACAAACAAGACCATCCCCACATCTCTACCTTGTTATTAAGGAAAGCCCTAAAAATGAAGGTTAAACCCACAGTGATCTCTCCAGACACCCCACATGACTTGCTACTGATGTCCCCCAGCAAATGAACTGTGTTTTGTTCTTTGCTGTACCCGTACCACTTGGAACATGAGTGTACAGGAAATATTTGATAAATAATTCAAGAAGCCTCTACATCTTCTCATACTCACTTTTCCTATTCAGCACTGAATGCCTATTATGGGGCAGGTACTGTACTGGGGTTACAGTAATGAACAAGACACAATACCTACCCTTAGGGAGCCTGTAGTTTAGTTTATACTATATCTTGTTTTCATGTCTATTCAAGCACTCATCATACTTAATTATAATTGCTCCTTTTTAATTTAACTTTATGTTCTAGTCTCCTATAAGACTGTAAGGGCTTAAAGGCAAGTACTATGTTTCTTTCATGGCTATGTCCACAACACTTGGCACACACCAGACATTCAATAAATGGTTTGATAAGTGATGCATGAATGAACTATTGAGACATAAGAAAAGATCTTTTCCAAGGATACTGCATGCACCTGAGGATGTTCATGACAATGGAACACTGTCTTTCGAATCCAGCCGCCTCATCCCAAATACAAAGATGTAGTATGACAGGTGAGATCCTAAGCCTTTCATCTTTCAACTCTGACATCATGATGGCACTCCATTTTTAAATGCTGCTCTTACTTTCAGTGACATTGTGTTGTGCTAGTGGTTGTTCTTTCCCCCAAATAACCCTTCCTTTAATCGCTGCTTTTTATTTCTATTAACCATGAGTAACCACTGAGATTGATTCAGTTCAGCTGTCAGAGAAATCACTATCATTTGTGGTTTGAACTAATCTTGAACTCAAGTTCTAGGCTGATATCCTTACTACCAAGATCACAACTTAAATAACCTGTCATTACCCTAAATTTGATGCATCTTCAACTGATTGTCATGTGGAAATGTAACTCTAGTGCTACCTGAACAATTACTTAAGAGCTGCTAAAAATTGTAATTTTGTTGTGAAATTTACTATTTTTTTCCCCATTCAGATTGTGAATGTCTTTTTAGGATAGAAACTGACTTGCAAATGGACTAGATAAGGAGATAACACTGGATGATTCCACGTATTTTTGGCCTGAGTAATTTAAAGAGCAGACTTACCATCTACTGAGATAAGGGAGACTGTGGAAGGGCCAGTTTGGGGAGCAGAGGGTGAGAAAGGTGGGATTTAGTTTTGGACATACTGGATTTGAAACCTTATTCAACACCAAAGTGGAGATATCAAATAGGCTTCAACTGTATAACTCTGGAATTTAGGGGACAGGTCTAGGTTAAAGACATAAATTTGGGAATCCTGAGTATATAGAGAGTATTTAAAGCCATCAAACTGGATAAAATCAGCTATGGAATTTAAGTGGAAAAAGTGTGAAGACGGAGAAGTGACTAGTGTTTAAAAGATGTGAGGAGACATTATCAGCAAAGGAGACTGAGAAGGAGGGGTCTGTGAGTTTGGATGAGAACTGAAGCAAGTTATTTCCCCAAGGCAACTGACGAAAGTATTTTAAGTAGGAGGGACAAATGCGGGTAACAAACAGAACAGCATAAAGACTAAAAAGTGATGACACTGATTAAGTTATAACAGGAGAGTGGTGGTGATGATGCCTGTCTGGAGTGACTTTGCAAGAAATGAGAAGAGAGGATGTGTAGACAGACAACTTTTTCAAGGAGTTCTAGTACAAAGGGAGCCAAAAAATGGAGTGGCACTAGGAG